GGCAAGAGAAGCCACACAGCCAAAAGGTTTTCAAGATGCAGAAGTGCGCGGTAAATAGGTGGCATTCCAGCCATTCCCAGCAGAGGGAACAACACATGCAAAGACTTGAACACATGAACGAATCCATGCCTTTGGGGAGGGTGAGTCTTCAGTCTGGCAACGTCTCCTCTCACTGTTCACCCTTTTCCAAGAGTGGAAACACTCGTGACTCTCCTAATTTCCCACCTGGATTAGCTCCTTGTCTTTTATGTCTTAGAGCTGTACTTCCTGCAGGAATTCTTCCTTGATTCCCTTAAGTCTGGGTTACGTGAGACTGCTACATGGTCCCACAGGGTCTAGTACTTCCACCTATCACAGCCTTTATTATACTGTGCTTTAAATGGCCAATTTACTTGTCATTTGCCTCTAACTAGACTGAAGGCAGAGGTTACTCACTGTTCATCATCAGATCACAGCATAGTGACTAAAAGATAAAAGGTACTATTTGTTGAATGACTAAATGAAAGCTGCTAAGTGCAATACATTTTAGGAAGGTATATTTTATTTATTTAATAAACACTATTTCCGTGCCCATTATGTACTAGACATCTCCAGGCAGAGAATAAAATGAGACTAAGTAGAACAAAGAACCTCCCAGAGATTACATTATATTGGGAAAGAAAAGCCATAGACAAACTGGTATAAAGTAATACAAAACAGGGTGCGGAAGGAGAAGTTTCTTATTTCATATAAGGTAGTCAGGCAAGACCTCACTCATGAGGTTATATTTGAGTAAAGTCCCGAAGGAAATGAAGGGATGAGCTATAAATATTTGACAAATAGCATGTATGTTAGATACATTCGCAATACTTCTTAAAATTACCCCAGTAATGCTGGCTCTATACCACAGCTAATTTCTCTCAGCTATTGTAACACCATGAAGGATTTTTGTTAAATTATCCCTTTTATTGTGGCTGTCTCTTTAGGTTTTAGCAAAACATTTCAAGGTTTTTTCTTTCATAGTCCATTTGATAAGGATTCCTGTAGTGGTCAGGGTATTTCTTTGTTTCTAAGGTATTTTGAAATCATAGACTAACCCAAATAATATCTACTATCAGTCCAAATATTTTATCATTTGTTTGTTGGCAGGCTAGGGCAAGAGCAATTCACATGGTCACTGAACTGATTTAATTTCTGTGAGAAGCTTCTATTTCCAGGGTAAATTTGAGTCTGTGATAGCCTCACCTGTTAGGCAATTTTTAGTTTGAGCATAGACAATTACAAAATTATGTCAGGGATACACAAAGAAGTCTCTACGAGGTATGTAAGGGACAAGGAGAGTTCCCTGGTAGGAATTAAGTCATCACAGAGTTCTTTTTTTTTTTTTTTTTTTTTTTCATGGAAAGGAAGGATGGTGGCTATGTTAGTGTTGCAGTGATGGAAAGGGCAATACAATTTTGTATAAAGAATAGGTGGTGACTAGCTGAAAAGTGATGAACATTTTCCATCAACAGAAGAATCTAAAAAAAAAAAAAGAGTCTGTAATAGCATGGGAACCATTATGTTTACTGGAGACCTTAAAACAAAATAATTGAATCTTTTACACATTTTGCTATTGCCATCATATTTTTTTTTCTTTTCTTTTCTTTTTTTTTTTTTTTTTCCTGTCACATTTTCAAACAAGGCATCTATGTTTTGGTTACTTGGAGAAATGCTGAAATAAGCAATAGATCTCTGAAAATTACCAGGTATTTGAGTTCATATTGCTAGTGTCTATTCAAACTTTGCATGAACAAAAAGGGAGGGGCACCTGGGTGGCTCAGTGGCTGAGTGTCTGCTTTGGTTGAGGTCATGATCCTGGGGTCCTGGGATCAAGTTCCACATCAGGCTGCCCTCAGGGGGCCTGCTTCTCCCTCTGCCTAGGTCTCTGCCTCTCTCTCTGTGTCTCTCATGAATAAATAAATAAATAACATCTTAAAAACAAACAAAAAAAACAAAAAGGGAAATACAAATTATGAATCTAGAATCCTAGAAAACACATTTCAATAGATAATTATTGTACCAGTCTTTGGGCTTATTATACAGAAGCATGTTTTACAAATAAAAATTCAAAAAATATACAATCCTAGAAAGTACAGTCATATACATACATGTATTTAAGAAACATATTTTACTTAAGGATAATTTGCCTAAGAAGATAAATTCTCTTTTTATTATTAGGGTTTTTTTAATCCTAAATTTGTCAAAAAAAAAGGAATTCTCATATAGGTTTCCAATTAAGTACAATTTGGACAATTTTAGGCAAACTTGATTATTCCTATTTTCCTTTCTTTTGCAGAGGAATGTAGCAACTCTTTCTCTTACCTAGTAGTTTTTTAGGAACCTGAAAGATAGTTCATCATAAGGCATCTTACCAGTTTTATTATTCAGAATTTGAGGCTTGAATTTAGATAAGGTAACATCAAGAATCATTAAAAGAGGCAGATTAATAAATAACTAAAGGCTAACAATTTACAGCAAAGTTGTAAAAACACAGTAATGAAAAATTGCTAGGAATTTACCTTTTTTTTAGAAGGATTTTTTTTTTTAAGATTTTAGTTTTAAGTAAACTCTCTACCCAATAGGGGTTGAACTTACAACCTTAAGATCAAGAGTCATATGCTTTCCTGACTGAGCCAACCAGGCACCCCAAAAGGAGGGACTCTTTTTTTTCTTTTAAAGATTTTATTTATTTATTCATGAGAGACCCAGAGAGAGAGAAAGGCAGAGACACAGGCAGAAGCAGGCTCCATGCAGGGAGCCTGATGTGGGACTCCATCCCAGGATCACACCCTGGGCTGAAGGCAGGCACTAAACTGCTGAGCCACCCATGCATTCCAGGAGGGACTCTTAAAAAACGATTTAAGACTACATCAGGAAGCACTAAATTGAGCAGAATAATTTGGTGACCTCTATTGATCTGTACATAAAACAACATTTTGTAGGAAAAAAGATCCAAATTCTATTACTCCTTTTGTATATTATTACATAATGGTCTGCAGTAAAGGACTTATTGTTACATCTTTATATGTATTCATTCTCACATTCATATATAAATATGCAAATATTCAAGTATTCACTCGAAGTCTTTTACTATAGTTTTAAAATATAATTAACAGGGATCCCTGGGTGGCGCAGCGGTTTGGTGCCTGCCTTTGGCCCCGGGCGCGATCCTGGAGACCCAGGATCGAATCCCACATTGGGCTCCCGGTGCATGGAGCCTGCTTCTCCCTCTGCCTATGTCTCTGCCTCTCTCTCTCTCTCTGTGTGTGTAACTATCATAAATAAATAAAAATTAAAAAAAAATAAAATAAAATATAATTAACAATAATAAAGTAAATATAATAAATTTACCACCTAAATAAACTATAACTTCCTTAAAAAACAGAAAAGCATATGCATTATCATTATCATTGTGTCTATTTATATTTTAAAATATTATTAGGGGCATTTGGGTGGCTCAGATGGTTAAGTGTCTGCCTTCGACTCAGGTTGCGATCTCTGGGTCCTGGGATTGAACCTCGCTTGGGCTCCCTACTCTGCTGGGAGTCTGCTTCTCCCTCCCTCTGCCTCTGTCTCTGTTCATTCACATGCTCTCTCTATCTGAAATAAATGAATAAACTCTTAAAAAGAAAAAAACTTTAAAAAATAATATTGTATCTAGTGTAATTAAACATTTATATTGTCACACTTAATCAAGGTAACCTTTTCTTCAGACACAAAACTAGAGAATTGAAAAACAAGTGCTGTTTAGCTATTTGTTTCTTCTTAAGAAGAAACAAATTTATTTCATTTAATTCTATTTATTTCATTTAATTTTAACAAATTTGAGGAGGCAAAAATAAATTGTGTGTCTGTATCATCTAAATGTATTTGCATATTTTGTTAATCTATTGTCAATTTAAGCAATAAAGATAAAAATATTATGTTTAGTGACCAATGTTTTGTATGTGTTTCTTCTATTTTTTTTATTTTTAAAAAATATTTATTTGAGAGAGAGAGAGAGAACAAGCAGGGAGAGGGACAGAGGGAACAGCAGATTCCCCACTGAGCAGGGAGCCTAATGCAGGGCTCCACCCCAGGACCTGAAATTATGAACTGAGCTAAAGCCAGAGGCTTAACCAACTGAGCCACTGGAGCACCCTTGTCTGTTTCTTCTTTTATTTATTATTATTTTTTTAATAAATTAATTTTTATTGGTGTTCAATTTACCAACATACAGAATAACACCCAGTGCTCATCCCGTCAAGTGTCCCCCTCCGTGCCCGTCACCCATTCACCCCCACCCCCCGCCCTCCTCCCCTGTTTCTTCTTTTAGAGACTACCTGTGCATCCAAAGATTATTTACTAATTCAATTAATGATTTGCTTAAGGTTTTAAAGTTAGTTTAAAAATCTGGAAATATAACATAGCTAATACATTAAATCCCTATCATTTGCAGTATTGCAAGAATTTCATAAAATTAAACCTTTGAACATTCATTATCATTCCATTTAGTTGAATATAATTTTATAATATAACTTTTTACTTAAAGCAAGTTGTAGAAATGGTGGTAATTAAATTAATTCATAAAACCAGTATAAACATTTTTAAGAAGTTTGAATCACAAGAAATTTAACTCTGGTCTTAAACAAATCAAACTGTTGGGCTGACATTTTTATGTGGTAAACTAATTTTTAAAGCCATGACACGTCGGGCTCCCTGCATGGAGCCTGCTTCTCCCTCTGCCTATGTCTCTGCCTCTCTCTCTCTCTCTCTCTCTCTCTCTCTCTCTCTCTCTTTCTCTGTGTGTGTGTGTGTGTCTCTCATGAATAAATAAATAAAATCTTTAGAAAAAAAGCTATAACAAAAATTATTCTTTTATCTTAAAATTAAAGGCTTTTGTTCTTATCTCACAGCTGTTATGCAGGCAACTGTATAAACATACTGTTTCAGTGTCAATAAGAAGAAACATAGTTTAATAACTTTTTTCTTGCTTTTAGATACTTTTGACTGCCTATCTGGACTATATTCTTCAAGTGAGCACATCAACCACTGACTGCTTCTTTAAAGTTAATTAATCTTTAAAGTATCCCAAGAGAAGGAAGAGAGAAGAAAAGAAACAGAAAAAACATGAGGGAACCAACTTCAGACAAATATAAAATTGTTCTCGTAAAAAGCTAATTATGTTCCCTTTGCAAGGAAAGGAAAGAAAGCTTAGATAGAGAAAAAATCAATTTTAGATATATACACACAAAAGAGAGTGATATGTAGTTGGTTATGACAAAACTTGACTCCTTGACAACTTTATCAAGCCATAAATCAAAGCATGAGGTCTCATTAATTCTTGAAGTATGAAAACAAAGAAGGCGATGTTTCTACCATTAAACAGAATATTCTCTCTTTTGGACAAACGAGTCAATTTCCTTAAGAAAGTTTCTTTCTTCTTTTTGTTCTAAGGCACTTCTCAAATGAACAGCCTCACTCATGTCAAAATTTCCCCAAATTGGCCACTGCATTCCAAACTGTCCCTAGTGAAACTGTGCCAGTAAGAAAGTTAAGGGTATAAATTAGCATGTAAAAAGAAAACACGAAGGCAGCAGGTGTGTCATTTGGAAGAGGCTCAGTTTTATATTGAGAAAAACCTCTGAGGATGGAATGGTTTATAAGAATAAGGCTTACTAGCTTTGTGTCTCTGGAACTTGGCTAAAGGCCAATGGTTGCTAATCCAGAGCTGAACAGAATCTCTCGATTTGGTACAGATAGAATGAAACAGTGCAAATCTGTGACTATACTAAAACCATCAGGACACCCAGGTGGCTCAGTGGCTGAGCATCTGCCTTTGGCTTAGGTCGTGATCCTGGAGTCCTGGGATCAAGTTTTGCAAGGGGTTCCCACTAGGGAGCCTGCTTCTCCCTCTGCCTATGTTGCTGCCTCTCTCTGTGTATCTCTCATGAATGAATAAAGAAAATCTTTAAAAAAAAAAAAAAAGCTAAAAAGCATTGATTTGTACACTTTAAATGGGTGAGTTGTATAGTATGTGAATTATATCTCAATAAAGCTGTTCTGAAAAAAGTCTTCCAAAAACCTATTATATTTGGAAAATGCAAAAGCATTGAAACAGTTTTGTTGTTTTTATACTAGTGAAAAACTGGGAACAGCCCAATTGTACATTAACAAGAGAATGGTTAAATAAATTAGGGTATAATCCTATGGTGGAATGTCAGGTAGTCATCAAAAATGTTTTCAAATACTACTTCACGAAAAAGAAAATGTTCACGATAGAATCTTAAGTGTAAAAGCAAGACAAAATGTGAGAATTCAGCATAATCTTATAAGGAAATCTCATCAAGGGAAAACAGTATATAGAAATAAACACCAAATGGAAAGACAACAGCCATGACAGTGGTTATGGATGATGGATTGTGGGTGACTTCAGTTTTCTTCTTTGTTCTGTTTTCCAATGAAAATGAGTTTATACTGCTTTTATAATCAGGAAACAAAATGTCAAACAAAAATGGCTATGGGGAACTAAAAAATGTTTTTATTGTTGATTTGAGTATATATTAGGGTAACAGCAGAAAGTTCAAAGTACAGGGTCACCATATGAATTTGGTTAAGTGAAGGCAAAGACTACTGAAAACAAGGATGCAAGTAATTACTTTTTTCATTTCAACTGTTAGTTTGAAATGCTGCTGCCAAGTCATCTCACAGTACTCCAATGAGGCTCAGAGTGAACCCACCTCTTGAGTTCAACACGACGTTGACCCTCCTCTGTCCCTACTTACAGCCCTCTCATTGGTACATTTCCCTTCTCTCATCTCCCCACTTCTCCTCACTTCAATTCAGGATTTTCCTGCTGTGTATCTGCTATCCTTCCAATAAATGTTTCATGAAAGCTGACGAATAGCTTGTATGTACTAGCATTGTACTTGAATCAGTTCCGCGCCAATCAAATACCTCTTCAATGGCCCTGCCAGGTTTTCTGAAACAACCCCGCTATATTCCATAGGCAATGATAGAAGAAACCTGGTACATGCGCTTGTTGCAGTAGGTCTTGCTCCTCAACACCTCAGTGTCACCTGTTAAGATTGGACTGTTGGGATGCCTGGGTGGCTCAGCAGTTGAGCATCTGCCTTTGGCTCAGGGTGTGATCCTGGGGTCCTGGGATCGAGTTCCACATCGGGCTCCCTGCATGGAGCCTGCTTCTCCCTCTGCCTGTGTCTCTGCCTCTCTCTGTGTATCTTTCATGAATAAAAATGAAAAAAATGAAATAAAAATTTTAAAATTTTTTAAAAAAGAGATTGGACTGTCAATTAATGCCAAACCAGCTGGGGCAGGCTGGTTTAATCTACCTCATGGATACCACATTCATTCATTCATTTATTCATTCATATACAGGCTATTTCCTCCTGGGCTCCAGCAGTTCACTCACCCCCACCCAGCCAATGTAGTAACTAGTTCTTTCTGATTCACCAAATCATCACGCCCTGCCTCCTCACTAAATGTTCTCTGCTTGCTACCACCCTGTTCACCTCTGCTTTTTCCACAGTCTTTTGAGGTTCCTTTTTCATTTCACAGTTATTGCCAAGTACATAATAATGTCCTCATAATGTGTTTTTTCTCTGTCAGTGACAGGGGACGTTGTGGTCAGTTTTGCTGTGGCTTTTTGTTGTTGTTGTTCCTTTACTTCTGGCTTAAGCTGTACCTTTATGCAATATAGAAAGAGAAAGGGAAAATTTTCTTATTTTAAGATTCTATTTATTTATTCATGAGACACACACACACACAGAGAGAGAGAGAGAGAGAGAGAGAGAGAGAGAGGCAGAAACATAGGCAGAGGGAGAAGCAGGCTTCCTGCCAGAGCCTGATGCGGGACTGGATCCCGGAATCCTGGGATCACGACCTGGAGCCAAAGGCAGACACTCAACCACTAAGCCACCCAGGTGCTGCAGGAAAATTTTTAGTTACTAGCTGTGATATGGATCTGTACCAGAATGGGGGCCTCTGCCTGGTAGGTACTGACCTTAAACAGAAAAAATCATCTGTTGACGTTTAACACTTTTTTATACTGTTTGGGTCACAGGCTTCCTATGTGACTCTCATGTGTGGTGTCTTTGTTTTAAATAAACTTCATGGGTCCTGACTGAGCCATGGCTGACTATCCCTCAATCTGCTTCAACGGTTCTTCTCTTCATTTGCCCTAAAATAAGTGATCTGCAAAGCTCTGCCCCAGCGTTTTTCTTTTCCCTTTGTACACACTTATTCTTTCTCTGTGGTCTTACTGATTCCCATTAAACTCTTACTTCCACCAGTCTTGGCCTTGACCTCGCCCCATGATGAGCTGCTCCCCATACCAGACTGTGATAGTGGGGGCCCAGCTTACCTGAAGGGGTGAAGGGAGTTTGAAGAGGGTTCTGCTTCATTGCAGACCTAACAGACTGAGCAGACCATTACAACCTGGGCACTGGGCACAACCTACACACCAGCAGGACAGCCATCTCCCTGGTCCACCTCTATTAGGGTCAGATTCTTTGGTTCATAGAGTTTGCTGGTTTTCTGGGTTGCAGGTAAACATCTTGGGGCATCCCAGTCTATACCCTAGACTTGTATCCCGGTCACTTGGTAAGAGTTTGTTCCTGCCAGCCTTATTTCTTTTTCCCAATCTTCTTCCTCTTGCCTTTGATATATTTCCCCTCATGCTGGGAATTCCAATTTCTGAACTGGGGTCTCCATTCTCTCTACTCCAGCCACATGCTCATTCTGTGTAGAGGTCAGTGACTCCTTCCTCTTTTGGATTTTATGTGTGATCAGATTAAAGAGCCAGACCTGTCTTCCCAAGTATTTATCCAGCTCCCTTATCCTTGCTCTCTCCAACCACTCTGTCCTTGCTTCTAGTACACCAAGTGGCCCTGTGGTCAGCAATCATTCTGGAATTCACAAGAATCTCCCCTCTAAGCATATTACCTTGAAATGTATACCCAAATCCAGACCTTTTCCCCCATCTCAGCCTGACTCATTTTCTGCTGGCTCTCCTCCTTGGGTTGTACTTGGCATATCTAAGCCAAATCTCATTCTTCTTCCAGTTAACTAATTCCTCTTCTCCTTGCTTCTTTACTTTGGTTAATGGTACCATCATTTCCCAGTCACACAAAGCCTCCCAAGGCCCTCATGTTCCCAGCCATCAAATCAGTTGTTAGAACTCATAGATTCAATTTCTCCAAAGAAGTTGAGATGTCATATGGAGTAGTGGTTACTGTGAAACCAGAATTCCCAGTTCCACTACATAATATCTGGGTAACTTTAGGACAGTTATGGAACCTCTCTGTGCCTCAGTTGTCCAGTTTGTCAGATGGGAATAACAACTGTTCCTGCATCACAAAATTATCATGAGTTTACATGCTAAAGCACTTGGAAGAAAGCCTGGCCCATTGTGCAATTGTCTACTATTTTTATCTACCCCACCCAGAATATTTCCATGCTACCATGGCCTTCATTTCATTCTCACCCTGACCACCCTCATTCAGATCTTCACAGAACTACTCCCTTAGCTCCCAACTGTTCCTCCCTCTCCTAGCTGTTCTTGCTGCGTGCTGGATAGAGCTTCCTAAAGCATGGCTTTGGTCACTCATTGCTTTTCTCTGTCACCTCCGCTACCCAGCCACCACCATCTCTCACCGGGATGACTGACATAGATCCCCATCTGGTCAGATTGAATCTACTTGTGTCTCTTCTAATCCACCTCCATACTTTTGTCATATCGATCTTGTCATGTCCCTGTTTACAACACTTCGGTGGATACCCAGCGCTCCTGGAACAATTGTAGTCATAGCCTTGCTACTCAGAGTGTGACCCTGGAGCTTGTTAGACATGAGAATCTTGGTTCCCATCCCAGACCTGCTGCATCTGAATCTGCATTTTGACAAGATCTCCATTCAACATGTATTTTCCTTTTTAGAACGGCTTTATTAAGGTTTAATCCATATGACATATGATTTCACTCATTTAAACTACCTGTCAGTAGTGTCTAGTATATTCATACACATTGTACAATCATCACCACAAATTTTAGAATTTTTTTATTTCCTCAATGAAACCGTTCTCCCCTTAGCCATCACCCCCATCCTCTCCAGCCCCTCATCACTACTAATCTATTTCCTGGCTCTATAAATTTATCAGTTCTGGATATTTCATGTAAATAAGTTTATACATAGGGGCACCGAGGTGGCTGTCAGTTGGGCATCTGCCTTGGGCTCTGGTCATGATCCCGGGATCCTGGAATTGAGCCCACATCAGGCTCCCTGCTCAGTGGGGAGTCTGCTTCTCCCTCTCCTTCTGCCCCTCTCCCTGCTCATTCTCTCTCTCTCTCTCATGCTGTCTCTCAAATAAATAAAAATCGTTTAGAGAAATAAAAAATAAATAAGATCATATAAAATGTGATCTTTTATGACTACCTTCTTTCACTCAGCACATTTTCAAAATTTATCTATGTTGTAGCATTTATAAGTACATTTCTTTTTATTGCTAAATAATATTCCATTGTACCATGTATTTTTCTTAGCACAGCCAGAAACAGGATGCCATTCCACTGTATTTGCCATAGCCAAACAAATTCAATTTGTCATGTTTCTAGAAAAAGGTGACAGTAAGTAAATGTTGGCTGAGATTTACAAGGGTGGCAGCCGTGTTTAGAAAGCTTCTTTTCATGAGTGACTTTATTCACTCAGCTCTCTTAGTCTGTTTAGTATTCTGACTCACAAACGGAAGTGATTCTATTTTGGCATTCTTTCACTCTTTCTCCTGCACTTAATTCTTTGGTCTCTACTGACTTACTGCATTAAATTATGCAAGTTACTTAAACTCTGTTTATTTAACTCCTGCGTGCTCTGTAAAATAAGCCCAGGCCAGCCTGCTTGTTTGCCAAAGCTGTTTGGAGACAATTTTTCATATGATATGCATCATCAGCTCCCACAGAAGGCAAAAGGAATTTGATGTGTGGGGGTAGTCTGGGA